GCCTGCGATCAACTGCAAGCATCGCGGAGACAATCCCGACGGCTCCACCCAATCTCTCGTGGCTGGGCAGAACCCGCGCGTGACCAGCCCGGGCTGCCTGCGAGTGTGCTGGGTGAATCAAAGAGCAGTGAGAGCGCACTGTAAGCATTCGTGCTTCCAGCTGGGCGGGAGCGCCACGGTGCTCCCAGGAATGAGCGCAGATCTGCAGTACCAGGACAGGCTGGTACGGACATACGGTGGAGTCTGGAGGAGCTATTGCAAGTAAGAACGGACCCTGAAAGAAGAGCGAGAGGGGCAGACGCGAGGAAGGTTGAGTTTCTTATCTCCAAGTTGCTATCTCGCGCGGGCTGAGGTCCGCCGCATCGCATCATGGTGGAGGATGGGAAGGGGCATACGGCCGGCGAGAGCTACTTGCGAGAGAAGGTGGCAACTCAAACGCTGTTCTGTGGCTAGTCCCTGGATGATCTGTATTAGCGGCGCCGAGTACTGAAAGGGCATTTGGGCTGCGTTTCTTGCAGGACAAGGGCGAGCAGATAATCTGTTCTACATATCACATGGGGGTTCTGCAACAAGTTTTGGTTTTCCTATAATCGGGCACACCTACAGAGTGCAAGAACGATGTCATACCCTCATTATATTGATCAGCTTATTCGGATGAGAATCAAGGGGAACCGGGCATTCTGCAACGGATCTCCCGAACAGGTTCTTGCATCCTATTCACTTGCCTTTGCATTTCTCGCCAATCGCTTCGGATGATAGAGTGTTCTAGAGGCACACAAATATGTTGAGAATTCTGAAGCAAAGGGCTGAGACAACGCCTGATCAAATTGGCAGAATCCTATGTGATAGTCAGTCCTCCCAAAACGGCGAAGAGGGCAGAAAAGCGGATGGGCGGAATCACATGCGTCGAAGAGTGAGAAGGTGATCATAATCGCTGGGGTCCGAATGTGTTGAAGAGATGAATGCCGCCCACGCCGCGTCCCTGGAAGGGAGGAAGGGGGTTATGATGGTGGTGTGGGCGACAAGCGCACTCGGGTTTCCGGCGGGCTGGTTTGGGGTGGCGGCGCAGGCGGTGTTCTGTTGTCCGAGCATGCCGGCAACGTGCACGAAAGCAGCAAAGGGGAGCGGATGTGCTGGACGTTGGTCGTATTCGGAAGGTGGGCTAGGCGCCGGGCGATTTGGGGAGGTGATGCGGCTCGGGAGAGAGACGTGGTCCGAGCAGCTGCAGC